CAATTTGAATGGAAAAATATTTCAGCTTGAAAGTGAAGAGGTATTGTTTTGTCATCTCTTCACATGGAACCTTCGTGTCATCGTTGGCCGACATCGTGCGGCAATCATCCCCGTCGAAAACGGGGAAGATGTTGCCGTCTCGATTTAAACGCGCGGTTCCAATACAATTTTGCCGTTCGAACTCCAGTGACCTCTTCATTTGGATACGACTGCAGATGCTGTGCAGGGAGCAGGATGGCCTGTTGACCGCTATGAAGTCTTGGCCTTGGTGTGGAATCGTGGCTGAAAACGAGGAAACACGCGCCAGTGGAAGTGCTGACATTTTCACCACCGAAGTCGTAAAGGAGCTGGCGTTTTTCACTCGCGAAGATCTTGACACAACTCTACAATACGCCTCTGCCACCCACAAGAACATGCGAAAAACATGAGTGGTGAAATTTTATAACTTCACATTAGACCTCGGGTTTAAAGACTCGATGTTTTGGCAGAGGTGGCGTTGATATGTGATGGGTGAATTGTTCCACGAAAACATACAATCTTTACCATTATGAGCACCAAACGCAGAAGTGTGCACCACCTTACGAAGTGATGCACAATTAGAGGCAGACAGTACCTATACTCCAATAGGGATTCAAGTAATTCCAAACGTCTACATTCACGATAGACCTAAACAACCCTAGTTCAATACTATATAAGGAACCCTTAACAAAAGGAGTCTTGAAAATTAAAAAAGTGATGACCAAACAATTTACACTTAAGAAGAGCAAAAACCCAACACCATTTGATAAAACCTACCATGAATTACACACTTTAAGTACCATATCCTAATTAGAAGAGTTGGGATGGGCCACCATCACTCTCGCTGTAAGATACATTTTTAGTTTCACTTCCGCATGCATTTCCACTGATGGCAGATTCAGAGGCAAGAAACATTGACAACCTGGTCTTGCGCTTTTGCCGGTACCTGATTTGAGCCATTCTCTTGTCTTTGATCTTCTTCATCCCGATGGCATTGAGCCGAATTATGTACTGCGTGTTTGCGTCTCCATCTTCAGCTCGGAGAGGGTTGAATCGTATGTGAACATTTGTGATTGCCACACAGGTCTGAAATAGAACGTCGTAGTTCTTACGGTTCCATCTGTAGGCATCACCGCACACAGC